CCGCGCCGCTGGCCCCTCGGGTAGAATTTAAAGGGGGCGCAGCATTCCCGCCCGGCCCAGGTGACCTCTCGGGGGTCTCCCTGCCAGAGGTGCCCCGCCGCCAAGGAACATGGCGAAGGTGGAGCAGGTCCTGAGTCTCGAGCCGCAGCACGAGCTCAAGTTCCGAGGTAAGCCCCGGAGGCCCGCGGCTGCCCGCCGAGGCCCCCGCCCGCGCCGGAGGACGGAGCCCGGCGCCGGTGACGTCGCGCCGGTCCCCGCCGACGGCGCGGCCGCGGGGCAGTGGGGCCTGCTGCCTCGGCGCCGCCCGGGCGCTACGGAGCGCCTTCTGGACCCCGAGGGCCACGGGGCCGGGTGCGGGGCCGGGGCCTGCTCCTCCTCCCCCAGCCTCCCTTGGCCTCGCCTTCGAGGCACACTTGTCAAGAAGGCCACCATAACTTCCGACGACTTCGAGGAGTGCAAGCACTGGTGGCCCCTCTGTCTGGAAGGCCCTTCCCCTGCGCTTCACAAGGTCTCAGCTTAGTGTCACCTGCTGAGTGGCCTGCACTGACCACCAGACCACCGTGGACACCATTGTCATGCCTGACACATCTCTGACTTGTGATCAGCACAGCACGTTTCACCACCCAGTCACTGAGTTTCGACACTAGATAGGAAACCCCATGAGGACAGTACCTTGTCTGTTCGCTGCTCTGTGTTCAGTACATACTAGGTGCCTAATAAATGTCTGTTGAAGGAATACATAAAGGGAACCTCCTCCAGAGCTGATGGGAGTGGACCACCATTCTCTCGAGGGTCTTCCTCGTGCTGAGGGAGGCCGCCAGGGTGCTGAGATCCTTTTTATTCCCAGAGATGCTTGGAGTTGTAGCCAGCAGAAGGCTGGAGCAACAAGTGCCTCTCTGGGAAGTCAGGGATCTGGTTTCTCCTCTGCACTTAACCACGTTTTATATCTATGTCTACATATATCTATATATATCTATATATCTATATATACGCACACACATATATAATTTCATATATATAAAATCATATATAACTATTTTTTATCATATGTATAAGTATTTTTTTATCTTTTTCTTTCCTTCTTTACCAAAATGTAAGGGTCATGAGGGAAAAGACAACGAGATCTTGTCCAGGTTGCTCATTCATTCTTTTTGCATTCATTGAGTAATTGTAGGGAACACTGGGGAGAGGTAGAGCTCACCATATTCTAATCAGAGGAGATTACCATGAACAAGGTCTTTGCAGGTAGTGGTAAGTTCTGAATAGACTGACTTGATGAAGGTGTAGTTTAGATCCAATGGCCGGTCACCACTGTATGGCCTGCATGTGGCCCGCGGTAGGTGTCACTTAATTTTTGTGAAATGAATGCCAGCCAGAGGCACCTTGGTTTTTGTGTGTTGTAAGGAAGTAGTGTAGGGTAACTTGATGAAAGTTACCCAGTTGGCAGATGATACTTTTGAACCCAGACTTCAGAGCTCACACTTGACTATTATGCTGTCAGACCCCAGAATTGTGGCTCTCACTTTACCATTGAGGTTAATAATGTGGAATGACTCTGAATGTGTAAGAAACCCAAGGTTCAGTTTAAATGGAAACAAAACAAAACAACCCCATAGAAACCTAGCATGGGATCCTCATTCCATGACAGTACAGAGGATCTCTACTCATAGTAGTTTGGTTTATGATTTTTCTACCCTACAGTGGTGTGAAATTGATATGCACTCAGTAGAATCTGTTTTGAATTGGGAAGTTTGATCTTTGCCCAGGTTAACTATATGTGGTTTATTCTTCTCTATCTGATGCTGAATAGTGACAGAGAGCTGCAGCTCCCAGCAGTCTCAGTCACAGGAGGAGACAACTGATACTCCATAGTGTACTGTGTTGCTGGCATTTTTTTGGATATTGTGTTTTTTGCTTTTGTATTTCATTGTACAAAACATGAGGTATTCAGCATAAATTTAAATAACATTATTATTAAATAGGTTTTGTGTTGAATGATTTTGCATAACTGTAGGCTAATTTAAGCATTCTGAGCATGTTTAGGGTAGGCCAGGCTAGGCTAAGGGACAATGTTTGGTAGTTTAGGTTATTAAATGCTTTTTTGACTTAAAGTATTTTCAATTCATAATGGGTTTTTAGAATGTAATTCCATTGTAAATCGAGGAACATCTGTACCCGAACTTGTGTGGTCTCAGGGACTTCTGGAGGAGCTAGACTGGGAAAGGAGTCCAAGTAATCACGTGAAGGTGGTGAGTGATGGTTTTCCCTTGAGTTGTCTGAAATTCTCTATCTAGGAAACCTGACTTGGTTCTTCTGTGAATTGACACATAGATTCATTTAGTCCACAAATACTCACCTACTCCATTGTCAGACACTGGAAGAAGCCAGGTCCTATCAGTTGTCGCCTCATCCTCCCTCAGCGTCTTCCCTAGTACTTTATGTGTGGGGACTGGCAGGTGAGATCATCAGGCAGGACAGTACACAGCCATGCAAGGCAATGGAGCATGTTCTGGGAGCATTGCAGAGGTCTACTCCTGAGACAGGTATCATCTGAGCTAGTTGCAGAGGTCCACAAAGCCAGCTAGAAGGAGAATGGGTGGGGAGCATTTCAGGCAAAGCAAGTTGCCTGTATAGAGGCAGAAAAGCTGAGGTGACTGTTCCTTTGGGATGCCACTATAGCAGCAAAGAAGTTCAGGGCAAAGTAGGAGCCAAGGCTTCCTATAGACAGGGTCAGATCTTCTCAGTCCCTTGGTGCCTAGTGTCGAGTTAATATTGTGTGGCTGTTCCGCACTCCCCCCCCCCCATACTGGAGCTCAAACCCAGGTTCTTGTGCATGCTAGGCAAGGGCTTTTCCACTGAGCCACATCCCCAGCTTCAAATTGTTTTACTTTCTAAATAGTTCTTCCTTAGATTGACTCCCTGAAACCCAAGCCCCAGTACAAGCACTCTCCTCTAGTGTGTTTTACAGAGAGAATTTATGTTTTTGTTCCAGTTCTTTGACTTAAAGGATGTGTGACCTTGTGCTGCCACTTCATTCCCTGGTGCCTGGATCTGGAGTTGTTGAGGTGACACTCCTACCTTGTGTCTCAGTCGCATAGAAAGTTTTGCTGCTGTTTAGGAAGGTACTGTGTAGAAGCAGAGCTCTGTACAGAGATTGCTGGTTGAGTACAGAGATTGCTGGTTGAATACTTGAAGCTGGTTTCATCTCTTCAGCTTGTTTACTTAAAGGGTATGGCAAAGTGATCTCTCTGACCCTGAGTTGGCTAAAGTAAGGATGGCCAAAGTCATTGGGTATTTTTGCTAGGGAAGTGGTCCAGGAGAATTTGTGGTGTCAAATTGTTGAAGGGCATTGCTCCTAACTTTGGAAGAGGCATCTGTAGGCATGTGTAAACCATTTTTGAGGTGTTTTGCTCATTTGTTTGAAGCTGAATGTGAAGATAATCAAATTAGAATAGAGACTCAGTGGTCTGGCTTGTTGTATGGCGATAATTCATTTCAGGATGAGAATTGACGCATATAATTGGTCTCTTCTAGGTTATTCAGGATAACAACTCTGATTTCTGGTGGTTCATCTAAATGAATCAAATTTCTAAGCTAAGTTTGCTTAAGAAGTTAATAATTAAAATACCTATCATTCAGAAGAAAATTAGCCATCTTTTAAGTACAGCCTAAGATGATGGTGTGGGATTGTATGTTATCAGAGTCTTCATAACCTTGGGATTTTTGTGTAGTATGTTAAATTTAAAGATGTTACAGTGGAAGAAGAACACAAGTTTATATGACCTTGTTCAATTTTATAGAACATATCATGTTGCATGTGTTGAGTGACAAGGGAGAGAGACTGGGTTCCTGATAGAAAAGCATGCCCCAGTGGATTTGCCTAGATTTAAAGTTGGACTTCATCAGATCATTTTAAGAAGCAACAAAGGTAGAAGCTCCTTCAAACCAGGAACTTTTGGAGAGAGGAAAGGTTTTGAAACCTGTGGAGTGAGATTGTGTTTGGTTTTCGTTGTCACTCTTCCCATTGATGTCTGGTCCTCCCAAGGCCTAATCCTTTCCTCTCTTTCTCCTCCCTTTGATCCCACTGTGTCCAGCTCAGAGAACACTTTCAGAATGAGTCACTTCTAAGGCATTTTATCTCTTCTTTTTCCACTCCTTCCCCTTCCATCAGATTTTATCTGTGGTAAGTAGTGTGTTTTCTATTTCTTTGGTCATTGTCCAAGACTTAATCCTTTGTCACATCCTGACACACCCTCTTGCCAATGGTACTGTCACCTAGGAATGATCAGTAACCATCTTCCAGCTGGGGCTGTGGCTCAATGATAGAGCACTTGCCCAATACTGTGAGGCACTGGGTTTGCTCCTCAGCACCACATAAAAATAGATAAATAGCCGGGCGGGGCGCGGTGGGGCACGCCTGTAATCCCAGTGGCTCTGGGGGCTGGGACAGGAGAATCATGAGTTCAAAGCCAGCCTCAGCAACAGTGAGGCGCTAAGCAACTCAGTGAGACCCTGTCTCTAAATAAAATACAAAATAGGACTAGGGATGTGGCTCAGTGTTCAAGTGCCCCTGAATTCAATCCCGGGTACCCCAAATAAATAAATAAGTAAAGATTTCTTGTCCATCTCCAACTAAAAATATTAAAAACCATCATCACAAGGTTGAAGCTTAAACCCGTTGTGGGCCATTTACTTTTGCTTTGTTCTGAGACTCAGCCAGTAGCCTTCAAGAAGTCTGAGTCGTGCCATTGGTCTCTAGGGATAGGGCCAGTGGGCTGGTGTAGTTGATCACTACTTTTGGGGGAAATAGGAACTTGGGAACTGTAAGTGATAACTTAGGGACACTCTCTTTTTTTGCATAAGGAAAGCAAGCTTAAAATCATTAATTGAGCCCCTCAAGTTGATGTGTAATTTAGGATTGTTTAGAAAGTTAAAAAAAAAAAAAAGCTAAAACCCTGTGGATATAGTCCATTCATTGCAATAATTATCTTTCAGATGCTAAGTACAACATTAATTCTTTAGCTTTAGTGTAGCACTGATTTCCTTCACATTTCATGATCACATAGGCAGACTGTGTTTTACAGCACAACAAAATGTCAGCAGTGTGCTTAAGATTCTTTATGGTATGGTTTAAATCCATCCTGAATAGATTATCTTCATTTATTTA